ATCTTCAGAGAACTGGGGCATGATTGATGGAGAAGGTACAGGGAACTGTGAGAGCTGATTAGAACTTTATCTTCACCTTGTTCTTATCAGGGAACAAGGAGATACTTGTTCACATTAAAAGGCTGGTAAATTTAGCCGAGTGGAGGGAATTGTACAGCTCTAATCAGAAGATTTGCCAACTCCTACAATTCACTATCATGTGGTTCGTTAGGGTATCTTTCTCCCCCTGCTGACTCCAAAGGTCATATGGGTTCAATGGCACCCTTCAAAGGATGACCTGGATTCTTCAAAGACAGTCCCTCCTTCCTGACCTGATCTTCACAGAGAGGGACGAGGGCACCAGGGCACCAGAGAAAGAGATAAACTCTCTGAAGTATACCGCCCACACTTGGAAGAGCATTGTTCTTCTCCAAGTGGGAGCTGCCAGCAGCAGAAGCTTCTATTCTGTTCCCAGCCCACACATCAGAAAGGACCTAGGATTTTCTTTGTTGCCAACCAGGCAACACCCAGCTGAGAGGAGCCTTGACTTTTTTCTCACCAACTTAAAGGTATGGTGGAGTTCTCTGGGCTGACGTACAGGTGACAACAGTCAGTGCGAAGTGTAACACTTCTAGTTCGTACCAAATACCCATCGATTTACCCCAGAAAGAGTAGCTGTTCACAATTAAGGGAAAACTCAAAGCCAGGTGGGATGAAAAGAGACACTGTTGCTGAAACAGAAACCAAACGGCAAAACCTGAATTTTCCTGGTGGTAACCTGGAAGGAATCTTATTCCATGGCAAGGACGCGGGGTGGCTTTCAAAGAAGTGTTCTATTCACGTCTTGAGCTATTTCCAGGTTTAGGTTAAGCAGTGACTAATAGCAGTTAAGAATTAGTGAGACGAGTAACCAAGTTTATCCAGAAGTTTATCCCTTGACATTCTTCCTCTTAAGATATACCATTGTTAACTAGTTTGTTCTCTGCGACTTTAATGGTTTTACTAAAGTTACTGACAAAGTTCATTCGTGTCCCTGACAGTAACAGTTCTTATGATAGACCCTGGTTGGACTTCAGGCTTTCGAGGCTCAGGCCCAAGTACAAACAAAGTTTCTGGAATGAAGTCATCATATTCTCAGACAGCCGTAACCTCTCAACCCAAACATTTAAAGAGCCAGCACCTGGCACACATCTTGGTAGGTTTAGCAATAACTAGTAGTAATCGGGCGGTAACCTCGGTTCCTCCTCTCCTAGCCTGCGGTCCCCCATTGAAGGCTACTATGTAGGCAGTCTGTCAGCTTTGTATCCTCTTCCCTCTTCAGAGCTCTGACTGCCAATTTCTGACATCTACACCAGGCAGCTTTCTTAGAGTCATTCACCAGACTGGCATTTTCTGAGCACCTCACCTGTGCCAGGCTCCTTCCACATTGTAGCCGTATAGCCCAGGAGTGTGAGGCAGTGGGGGGCATTGTATCAGCAGACTCCCAGGCACCCTGGGCTCCAGCTTGCCTGGAACTGAGATGTAGTAGGCCTCATAGACACCTGATGTGGCACTTCTTGTGTCCTGGGGCCGGGGCCTGCTTTCCCTTATCCCCTGCAACCCAGGCTGCCCCTGAGAGGGGGCTGATGTGGGTGGGTTTGCTGCCGTGCAGCACATGGAGCCTCCTCTAAGGAGAAGTCGTACTCACTGACCTAAGAGGTGGTGCGGCCTGATTCTACTCTCTATCAGTGCAAATTGCACTCTACTCAGTCTCTGGGGGCCGAGGTGGGAAGCCTATTTCACACACAGAACACCTGCAGAACATGGCATGTTCCATAGGAAAGAAAGACCACTGGGTCCCTTCTTTCTCAGACAGCCATGGGCATGGCAGGCATCTGTGCTTGTTTTGTAGTATCAGGTCTGGTCTTTAAAGGCAGGCATCTGAATCCATTCACTGTGGACTCTCTTTGGACATACTCACTTTAGAAGGTGAGCCCAGTGAGGGAAAGCCTTCAACCAAAGGAAAAGGAAGGGATGGGTTTCTATTGCACCCCTGCTGGCACTGGGTACTAGAAAAGCTCCATTTATAGCAGAAGAGCTCTCATCCTGGGCATAGCTTTATGGTCAGGGCACTATGATCCCATGTGAAAGCTCCATTTAGCAGAAGAGCTCTCATTCTGGGCATAGCTTTATGGTCAGGGCACTATGATCCCATGTGAAAAGTGGGGAAAGTGTGCCTCAGAGAGGTCATGTAAGTTGCCCAAGCCAGGCAGCTATGAAGTGGCAGAGCTCAGATTTGAACACAAGAGACTAAGACAGGTGGACTCCGATGGTAGAATCCCAGGTGCCCTGAGGTGCCTTGATCGGCTCTAACTGGGACAGACAGGCACTCCTGTGTGACTGGGAAAACTATTGACTCAGGTTCCTGTAGCAATGGGCAGAGTGTGGGCCTCTTGTAGGCTCTGGAGGCCAGTGAAGGACGGGTTGGGACACTTTCCAAAAGAGGACATACAGAGGCCAAAAGACATAGGAAAACATGCTCAAAGTCACTAAGCATCGGAGAGATGCAAATCAAAAACAACAATGAGGCACCATCTCACACCTGTCAGAATGGCTATCATCAATAAATGACAGCATGGATAGAACTGGGAGAGCATTATGCTAAATGAAATAAGCCAGTCAGAGAAAGATAAATATCGCATGATCTCACTCATTTGTGGGATATAATGAACAACAAACTGATGAACGAAAATAGATTCAGAGACAAGGTAACACTGAACAGACCATCCAACCTCAGAGAGAAGGCGGAGGGGGGCTGGAGTGAGAGATCAACCAAAGGACTTGTATGTATGCATATTAGCAAAACCAATGGACATAGATAACTGGGGCGGTGGAGGCTTGTCCTGGGATGTGGGAGTGGAGGGGGGTGTCAATCAGGGAAAACGGAGACATTTGTAATACTTTAAACAATAATAATTTAAAAAGGCATGTACCTTTCATGAAAAGGCTGCTTCTTGGTCTTTTCAAGGCTAACTGACTTTCAGAAAGTCCCTGGGGGGCCTGCTCTGTTAAAGTGCTGGGCCACGTGCAGCTCTTCAGAAGGGCGGAGAGTTCTAAGGGAACTGAGGATGTTCCCAGGGCTGGTGGAGAGGCCCCCGGTCTCCACAGAAGGATTTGAAGGTGATGCAGAGATGGGACCAAAGGATCAGCCTAGAGCAAAAGTGATGGTGAGGACTTGGGTTTCGTGCGCTGGGGTCAGGAGACCCAGGCTCCAGTCTTAGCTTTACCGTCAGCACTCAAGTGCTTCTCTCTGGGCTTGTTTTTCTCAGCAGTAGTTGAAAGGAATTTGGTGAGGGCTCTCCAGGGTTCCTCCCCGTTCAACCATGACTAGGGTCATCCCCCCAACTCCGCTGTCATGCTAACCCTTGTCAGCCTTCCCAGAACCACCAGTCTCAGATTTTCTTATGTCAGTTTTATACCAGGCTTTGCCACAGTGTATCTTTATTTTAATAGGATGGCAATTTCGAGTCACTATCACCACTAACCTTAAAAGCTTCAAATGCTGAAATAATTTCGCCTTAATGTTCAGGTTTTACCTTGCATTTTTCAAACCTTTTATTTTGAAGAGATGCCCCTTACATGGGTCTGTGCTTCCTTGGGCTTTTGAATCAGGATGAACTTCCTGAATTTCAAATGGATGTTAATATGACTAACATCTTCCTTACAGAAGTGCTCACGCCCAGACCTTCAATGAGGAAATTCAAAGGATGGCGAGTGAGTCACTTTGGGAGAGAAACCACATAGCATATTGGCACAGTAATATTCTGGCAGTAATCCAAGAGGGAAATGTAAACATTAAATACCCGGGGCATCCTGTTAATAAATTAAGAAATTCATTTCTACACTTTTGTAGAGAGAACAGAATATTGATTTTAAGGTTAGGACTTTTCACTTTGCTGTTCCTTCAAATTGTTTTATACTTCATTATTGGGAAAAATTTAAAAAGCTAACTATGGATATTCTAAAATAATTCCCTTGGAAGGTTAATAGATTGCTACAAGTGCTGGGATCATTATTATCATTTTGTTTTGTAGCTAAAGGAAAGCTGTGTTTCCTCACGGTTCATTGACCTCACGGTCATGCAGGCAGGGAGTAAGGGCACAGCTTTCTAAGTCCTTGGGTCCCTCTGTTGCTTCGCAACCTGATAGTAAACTTTTGGAGACCTGGTTGATGGCTTTTCCTCCTGCTCCCTGCATGGCTCCCAGCTGGGATGGGTCCTGCATCTGCTTCCAACACAGAGAAGCAGGGTAGTGGGACAGAGCCATTTCCAGTCTCTGATTGTGCTCCAGAGGGTTCCTGGGCTCCTCAACCCATTCTGTTGTTCTTGGGGGGAGAGGCTGCTTCCCAGTTCATGGGCTTTTATTCTTGAGGTCACTAGTCCCAGAAGGGACAAAGATTCTGTGGATAGTCTGAAATAGGCCTGTGCCCTGGGGTGTCACCTCTCTTTTTATGCTTTCTATCTACCCCGTCTCCACAGACACGGCTCCTGTCCTCCTCCATGTGTCTGTTCTTTTTGCCCTGCCCTCTCCATCTGAGACTGTGCATCATTGCTCATGTCCCCCAGCCGGATCTCCCAGTCCATGGTCAAGAGCTCCTGGATGTGGTCTCTGAAAGACTTCATCTTTGTTAGCCACTTGAGAGAGGTGATCTCTCCAATGGAAACATGAGCCACCAGGGCAAGCCATCTGGGGATGTCTCCTTAGCACCCTTGAAGCCACCTGGTGGAGGAGCAGAGTTCCTACTCAGGTCTGAGCCAGGATGTCTCAACATAGCAAAGTGCCCCCACCTCCACAGCAGAGACACCCTCCTCCCTTCACAAGGGCTCCCTTCTTTCTTCTTGCCCCCACCTCCTGATTCATCAATACATCAGTCTGCAAGACCTTGCTTAGCACCTATACTTCATGTGTTCCTGAGACCTACAAGAGGAGATCAAAATGACCTATTCCTTAAAGTATCAATATGTAGTTAAAAAGATGAGGCACATGTGTTTGGAGCAGCTAGAGAGCATCATCACCATCATCATCATCATCATCATCATCTACATGTGTTTGGAGCAGCTAGAGAGCATCATCATCATCATCATCATCATCATCATCATCATCGGAGTGCTCACTGTGCCAAGGGCATCAGTGTATGCACTATCGTCTCACTTAATCCTTAGAATGTCATCTGTGGAGTGCTCACTGTGCCAAGGGCATCATTGTATGCACTATCGTCTCACTTAATCCTTAGAATGCTCCTGGAAGCTCTGCTCACTCTACAGATGAAGAAACTGAGGTTCATAGAGTATAAGTGACTTGTCAAAGGCGATAGAGCTGATGGGCTGCACCACTGTACTTCAAACCCAAAGTCTGATCCCAGGATCTATGCTCTTGACCACATCATCTACCCCCTCTCACAATACAAAAGCATGTGCAAAGTGTGGGAGTGAAGATGCATGGCTCAGCTCAAAACCCCAGCAAAAGACATGGAAGGAATTTTTTATTTTGTTGAATCCATTGTCTTTCTTCAAAATAGACTGCTTTCAATTTCCTATTTAAGAAGGTGGCTCTTTCCAGCCTTCTTGATGGAATTTTCACCTCTATCCTGTGAGGGGGTGGCAAAGGAAAGAGAACGCATCCTTTAACAACTTGTCTTCTAAGTGATTTTAGGGACGTCGTTATTTTTGAAGCTTATTTTGCTTTTGAAATCACAGATGAAAGCGAGGTAACAGGATAAAGGAGCAACAAAAAGGGTGCTTTTTTTTTCACTACACTCCAAATAATTGCTTTCCCCCTAAATTTCCAGGCATAACATATGCATTTTTAGAGCCTGCAATCATAAGGAGCCTTATAATTTACAGGAGTGCATCTTTCTGGGGGAAATCTCCATGAGCAAATAGTGGAGGTACAACCACCTGCTGTATATTACGCACAATGCCATGCTTTCCTTCATAAGCTTGGTAAGTTGGAAAGAGTTATTCATATCTCTGTCAAATATGGATGAATCTGAGGGCTGCAGTCACTCTCACCTCTGGCTTCTCGTGGATGTGTATCATCTGGGGGAAATCTTCAGAGCCAAGCAAAGGCAAGATGAACACTGCTACGACTGCCTGTCTGGCTCAGCAGGCATCATGGGAGAAAGAAAGTGCACAGTCTGCCCCTTAGAGCTCTAAGCAGATCATGCTTATGGTCACTATGGAAAGGCACCTTAGAACATTCCTCTCTGCTTTGCAAACGTACCTTTAGAAACAGAACATGGGAAGGACACGCCATAAAAATCCCTTTTGGGCCAATTTTTTACTTATTTATCCAAACTGAAGTACAAATGCTTATGACAGGAAATGGCTCATAATGTGTTTGTAATAATTTTCTGGAGCTTGCTGAAAACAATTGTTAAAGTTCATGGCATTTTTGGAACGAATTCTTAAATCACTGATGGCTTGAAATTGGCTATGGTTGGAATTTTTCCACCACAGATATCACCTAATCCTACCATTGAGGTTTTAGCTTTTGTTCTCTGGAGGGGCTGTGTATTAGCATGCCACTGTGCCCAATTCATGTCAAATTCAGAACATTCAGCACCCCACTGTGCTCCTCCGTGGTGTGTGGAGACCCTCTGAGTCCTGGAGGTCCAGCCTGGGTGCCTACAGACCCCAACTCTTCCCCCCTCCCACCCCCAAGTGCCACAGGCTCTGGGGACTCCACTGCAGCTGTAGGGTGGGAGCGGCTTCTGATTCAGCACCATGGCCAGGGGTCCTCACTGCATTCACAGGCATTCCTTGTTCTGGACTTGCCCTCCTGGTGCTCAGTGGACAGAGCGCTTCCTCCTCTCCCATGTTCACCTTGGCATAGGGCACCAGCCCCCTTCCCCTCTGCCCCCACCTGCCCTGTTTCTGCACCCTTCACACAGCTGGGGAATGGAGCTGTAGGGGTTAGAGTTTTGGTTGCCTAATTCCATTTGCCTCAGGTTACATTTTTCAGAGGTTCCCGGGAAACATATACATTTATAATAACCCTCCAAATTAAGTTGGACGTGGTTATTCCTATTTTACAGATGAGAACCACAAGGTAGGTAGCATTTGGATGGGTAGATTGTGTAAAATTATGAAACTAATTGGTGGTAGAGCAGAACTCTTAGACCGAGCAAAAAGATTAATTTTAAACAGTACAGTGAATGAAGCAAATGTGTGTGAGTGTGTGTGTGTGTGAGTGAGTGATGAGCAAAAGGATTAATTTTAAACAGTGCAGTGAATGAAGCAAATGTGTGTGAGTGTGTGAGTGTGTGATATGAATCAGTGACACGAAATGTGGGAAGTTACTCATGACCATGTGGGAGGCAACAGATGTGTGGGGTAACTGTAGTGAGTCAGACCAGTGAGCATACGAGGCTCTGGGGACCTGTGGTGGCTGCATCTGAACAGGTATTGATAGTTACAGTGTGTCAATGTCTCCTTGTTGACCTTTAGGCAAGGCCCAGATTCCTTGCCCCTGCCCACACAGCCTCCAGGCACCCTGCCCTGGCAAATATCATGTTACTCTCACTCACCTTAGGGCAGTGGTTCTCAACCTTCCTAACGATAACTGTAATTTTGCTACTGTTATGAATCCTAATGTAAATATCTGATATGCAGGATGTATTTTCATTGTTACAAATTGAACATAATTAAAGCATAGTGATTAATCACAAAAACAATGTGTAATTATATATGTGTTTTCATGGTCTTAGGCGACCCCTGTGAAAGGGTCATTTGACTCCCAAAGGGGTCGCGACCCATAGGTTGAGAACCGCTGTCTTAGCGGCTCCCCTTTCAGTGGCTGGCTCCTCATCCCTCCTGCCCTCTCTTCAGTTATACTAAACTGCTCATCCTCCTTACCTGTTGGCTGGTGCCCTCACTGCCCTACCTGTCATGAACCTCGCCATTCAGCATCCAGGCCTTTCTCTGCCTTCTATTCATGCCCAGCACTTGCCTGCGAGTTCTTGGGGGGCGGGTTTTCTGAGATGAGTCTCTGAAGCCACATCCCCAAGGCCACACTTTTCAATAAATTTGCGTGAGAGAATGAAAGGATTGTCTTAGACAAAGGGATAATAACTCTTACAGTACATTCCATCTGATTTCCACCACAGGACTTATATATTCAGTTGACTGCTTTCATTCAAAGGGCCACTATACCTCTTCCAGGTTTGTGGGTTCTAAGGTTTCTAAGGATCATGGAAGCAGGGTGTAATATTTCTGTCATTGCTATTCCTAGGGCCTGGCACACAGTAGGTATGCCACTAAAAAATTTGGAGGAACCAAAATAATGAATGAATAACTAATGGATTGATACTGTTTTCACTGTCCCGGCTGCATGGCAACCTTCACCCTTCATTGCATGGTTAGCATTCTCTGGTTTCTGGTGCCAGCGTTTCCAGGAGCCCCCATGGGAACCCTCTTGGTGACAGCAGCTTCAGTGTCCCCTCTCCTGCCATGATGTGTCTTATGGTTGACTCTTCCTGACCTACTCCTGGGCCTGGACACACTCTGTTTTCCTTCTTTACAACAAGGCCTCTGGTTTGGCCAATACTTCATTTCCATATGCTTTCTGATGATTAAATCAATTGTTCCCCCAAAGGATGGAAGCACCAGCCCATTTTACAGTTGAGCAAATTGAGGATCCAGGACTTACAAGGCTTATTCTTAATCACATGCTATGAACAAGTGAGAGGTGGGCCTGGGAACTGTACCTCGTTACTCAGCCGCTAAGCCTATTTTTCTTTCTGTGATCCTGTCTTCACCTTCCCAATTACAGGACACTGTAGTGGGGTCCATAGCATTTTATGAAGCATAGCTTTCCTCTCTGTGTGTGTTCAGTGTTCACAGCATAAAGTCGTGAAATGCTGGGCAGCCTCATTCCTCACTGGGGGAGGGGGTATCACATGGTTCCTAGACCATCCTCTCTTCCTCTGCTCACCAGGGCTAGGGAGAGGCTCATTCTCCACCGCCCCTGGCACAGGGCTGAGCAGGGGGATGTGAGTGGGAGATTGTCCACAAAGGACAGGCAGACAAAGACTCTGCTTCTGATTAGATTTTCTCCCCAAACCAGCTTGTCCCCTTCTGATCTCTGCACACCAGTGGGGCAGTCTGGGCCCAAAGCCTTTTTGTTGGGGATTCTTTTCAAGTGAAGGCACTGGAGCCATATCCTCATTGTCACCAGGGTGTCACGTTCTGAGCGGTGGGTTGACACATCAAGGGCATCTTTTATCCAGATACTGTCCCCATCCAATTATTCCCACCGAACAGCCACTGTCACAGGCTCTCCTTCTTGAGGAAATGGGAAGTGGCTTTCCTGGGCCTGGTCAGAAATTTGCATACAGGAGCTTGTGGAACTGAGAGCAAGGCAGGCTGAGTTGTTTATGCTGAGAAATCCAGGGAGCAGCAAGCTTCCCGCCTCATTTTTTTTTGCCAGAAACAAAAGCCTGCCCTCCCCTGTCCTGGGGCCGAGGTGGGTGCTGGCTCAGTGGGCAATGCCTGCTGTGCTGGTGTTTAATGCCAGAGGGCATGCTCTCTCCCTGCCCCTCTCAGATGAACCTGCAACAGCTGACGTGGGCAAACCTGAGGTTTCTCAGCCGTAGTCACATACTCCAGCCTTCACAGTGGGTCCTCACTGCTTATCTCCTGCTCTGCCATTGACTTCCTCGTTTCTTCAGAGGAACTTACTTTTTCAACTTAATTAATTTTATTTTAAAAGAAAACTTGGTATTTCAGCCATGAATGGAAAACCAATATAACTTGCTCTGAGTCTGTAAAAGTAAATATGATGAAATCAAAGCAATATTATTAAATTCCAGCTCCACACTGTTGCCTGGGGGAGGCTCTAAGCACGAGGCCTGCTCAAAGCCAGAGCGCGTGCAGCTGGGTTTCCAGACGTATTCTCTCTGAGGAGTCGGCTTTGATCGTGAGTTGAGAAGGGACTGACTGTATTGCCTGGAGCAGGGCCAAGAGGAGGGTGAGGTCAGGGCAGAGCCCAGGACACAAAGGGAAGGTGCTGAGTGTCGGGACAGACCCTGCACCAAGGCTGGGAGGGAGCCCCTCCTTATGTTTTGCCCCATGGGCACCTCACTTTGCCTTACTCTGGTTCCAGCCTCTGTGAGTGGATGTCATTCATCACCAGGTCCCCTGACCACCTACATTCATCACTGGAGCACCAGCCACAGACTTGGGAGCCATGACTTTTTCCAGCTTCCTGCTCAGTCAGAAAAGCATTTGGGTTGTTATGCTTATGCTCCGGTAGCTCTTAGCTATGGCTGTGTCCTGTTCCAAGGACCCCTGTGCCCCCTGGTGAATACCCACTGGGAAAGTGTGCTAAGTGTGTTCATTGGTTTTCCAGCTCTCGTTTCTAGAATCCTCCATTTTGCCCCTTTTGAAACCTGGTCTTACTTGCTTTGGGTCTATCTCCTGACATCGCTCCTGTTCTCCAGATCACGCCCCTCCCCCCCGCCCTTTCTCAGGCTCCAGCATCCCATGCAGGCAGGGGATGGACAGTTCTGCCAGGATGGCCCTGTGTCTGTCATGCTGTCCTGTTCCTGCAATGCCTCAAAGCCCACTCAGGTGTCCCCACTCCCTCGTGAATGTCCCTCTGCCCACCACATGACACAAGATGACACAGGCTCAGTCTGCTTCTCCCCTCCCTTGCCGTGTGTTGCATCCTGGTGGCCTCGGCAGCCGGGGACCCCCTCGAAGCCAGGGAGGTCTCACAGAGCTCAGCGTCCTCAGTGCACATGCCTGCTCCACCCCCAGACCTGCAGCCCTCTCTCCTTTGTGAAGCAGAGCTGGCAGCACTCTCCCAGGGCAGTGGTGAGGATGCCGTGAGGGCGAGCTGGAGGGTCTCTTGACACAGAGTGGTCCAGGACAGTCCCCGTGACTGTAGCCCCTGGAAGGGAGCCCATTGAGACATGGGTCTCCTGTCAGGGAAGGGAGGAGGCAGAAATCAGTTCTCTGTTCACAACACTATCACTATCCCTTTTCCTTTTTTTTTGACTTTTAATTTCTTTATTGATCAAGGTATTACATATGTGTCCTTATCTCCCCCCATTACCCTCCTACTCATGCCATCACACCCTGTTGTCTTTGTCCATTGGTTAGGCTTTTATGCATGCATATAAGTCCTTTGGTTAATCTCTCCCCCTTACCCCCACCCTCCCCTACCTTCCCTCTGAGATTTGACGTTCTGATGGATGATTCTCTGTCTCTGGATCTGTTTTTGTCATCAGTTTATGTTGTTCATTATATTCCATAAATGAATGAGATCATGTGATATTTATCTTTCTCTGACTGGCTTATTTCACTTAGCATAATGCTCTCCAGTTACATCCATGCAATTGCAAATGGTAAGAACTTCTCTTTTACCATAGCATAGTATTCCATTGTGTAGATGTACCACAGTTTTAATGGGAATTTTAATATCATCCACTTAGCTCTAGTGCTTTTATTTTATTTATTTAATCAATTTATTTAAAGTCTTTATTGTTGAAAGTATTAAATATTTCCCTTTTGTTCTCCATTGACACTTATAGTCTGTCCCTGCGCCCCACCCAGGCCTTCACCCCCCCCCTTTTGTCTATGTCCATGGGTTATGCATATATGCATACAAGTTCCTTGGTTGATCTCTTTCCCACTCACCCATCTACCCCCACCTTTCCTCTTGAGATTTGACAGTCTCGTCATGCTTTTATGTCTCTGGATCTATTTCGTTCATCAGTTTATTTTGTTCATTAGATTCCACATATGAGTAAGATCATGTGATACTTATCTTTCTCTGACTGGCTTATT